ACTTTTTTGTACTGGTCAATATAGTGGTTCAATTTTATTTGATTTTACCACTCATATTGATGTCCGTTAAGTCAATAAATCGTGTCAAATCTATAGATTTCGGCTACAGCTCATTGTATAACGCGAAATATCGTGAAAAAATGCAAGTCACCTGCAGTAGGTACATTAATTCAGGTCCGCGGGCAGGAGATCGTTCATGGTCTCTGTAATGCCTTTCCTTTCCAATAAATAAGCAGACCAGATTTTTAAAACAATAAAACTTAACTTTATTTAAAAAGAAAAGAAATAGGCATTGTTTTCCAGTAAGAGCTTCCAGCTCTTAGAATACCTTATTATATGAAACATACAAGGGCGCCGGCAGCGGGGTGCAAGAGGGTGCACTTGCACCCCCTGGCCCGGATACAGAAAAACAATTTTGTTATAAAAAATTTTTTTATTAAAAATGTTTTCATTCAAAAACAAATAATTAAGTAATTATTGATACATAACAATTAAAAAATTGTTTAAACAAATAAGAATTGCAATTGTCTTGTTTGCTGTCCAAATCTGTTAATAACTTTTTCAATGAATTCTGAGTCATCTTTGATTTTTTTCTTATGCACACTGAGCATGAACTTGGCAGATATCTAAGCTATATTTTTAAATTTCATTTAATAAAATAAAAGCAATATTATATTTTCTATTAATTATTTCGTTTAACAAAGGTGTATAACACAAACTGACTTCTCACAGCTGTAAAACTTCATCAACACAATAAATACCAATGTTAAGCGTGCCCAAACACGTTAGTATACGAAACTACTGTTTGTAGTTATTTGTGTTTCAAAGTCAATAGCTATGCCAGCGCCATCAGTACAGTTTCTCGTGGCAAAATTTGCAAGTACAGGAAATTCTAAATTCTTTTTTAAATATCTTGTTAACAAGGAAAAAATGTATCTTGAAAAAAATTAACAGGTGGAAGTATATGTAATAACAAAACAAAATGTAATAACAAAATATTTTAAATTTTTTCTTTGGGGGGGGGGTAGTTTGTTAGAGGGTTGCACCCCCTTTTGTATTATTCCGCCTGCGCCTTTGGAAACATACATCTACCTTTCTCTCTCTCGCATCCTTCCGACGGGGTGACAAAATGCTCCAAGTGCGCCTTAAAAGGTCGCCAACCATTTGCCAACCATTACAGTTTCCACCGTTAAATGTGGTAACACTAATGGTGATAATTTTTTTTCCGGGGATTCCCCAACGACACTTGTAGCGTATCATTGTGTTTCTCTTTCCTTTTATTTTACTTTTAACGTCGTCAGTGAACAGTGAGTACCTACCTACTCGAGCACAATCTAATATTGTATTGTTTAAATAAATTAGAAAACTGAAATTATGGATAAAAAGAAGAGACCCAGTGGTGCATTTAAACGCAAACAACGCCAAGAAAGAGAAGATAGTAAACAAAAATTGCCCAAAATTGACAAGTTTTTTAGTCAGCCTTCTGCAAGTACATCTGGCCAAAATATTTCTTTTGATAGTGACTCAAATAATGTGGTAACTGCAGTGTTGGTTAAGAAGCCTACTGAAGAAGACTCGACAATTATTGCAGTTGGAGATACCTCCGCCGCCGATCAAGTGGACGTGAATGATGTTTGCATGACACACATAAGAGCGGAGGGTTTGGAGGAACCACAGACCTCTACATTTTTCGAAAATGTGTTCGATAAATCTTCTTATGACTTGGGAAACTTCACGAACAAGATATTAAGTGATAGCGAAAAACGTCTAATTCTTAATATGGGGCCTTTACAGCCTTCAGGACCTTTTCCAACAGACATCAACCAGAACAATAGGTGTTTTTCAAAATCGTACTACGTTTCGTATTCTAAATACGGGCCAGTTAATCGTTTTTGGTTGTGTTACTCCAAAATACTAGACGCTGCCTATTGTCAACCCTGCTGGTTATTTGCTTCACAAAGGCATAATGCTTGGTGTACGGGAATTCGAGATTGGAAGCATTTATCAGAAAGAATTAAACTACACAGTTGTTCGAGTGGCCATTCGGAAGCATGTGCTGTGTATGAATTTTGGAAGAAAAAAAACGATACTAATACTATCGACAAGGAACTTGAAAATGAAATTCGCAAAGAAGCATCATTTTGGAAAATGGTTCTTCAAAGGTTATTCAATATCATACTTACCCTAGCAAAGAGTTCTTTGGCTTTGAGAGGACATCAAGAAGACTTACGTCAGAAAGGATACCACGGAAATTTTCTGTCCTTCGTATAGCTTGTCGCTCGATATGATCACATTTTGTGGCAAGTTTTGGATATGCCCAAAGGTAATAATATAATAAGTTTTTTTATCGTTTTATTTTGTTTATAATTATTAACTGTTTAATATCAGGACTTTTTTGAAATTGTGTTTTTTTATGTTGTTAGGATCTACAAGATATCTGAGTGCAACAATTCAAAATGAAATGATTAAGAGCTTGGGGACCAAACTCGAAACCCATCTGCTAGAACAAATTAGAGCGTCACCGTTTCTTGCCATCATAATGGATACGACACAGGACATGTCGAAGGTAGATCAGCTAAGCATTGTTGTGAGGTATGCAGTAATAACCAGATCGGAAAATGGACAGTCAATTGATATAGAAGTAAAAGAATTGTTTCTAGGCTTTTATGCAGCCATCAAACATGGCGCAGTAGATTTAGTCAACCAAGTGACAACATTATTTATCGACAAAAATGTAGATTTTAAAAAATGTGTGGGGCAAGGCTATGATGGAGCCAGTGTGATGAGTGGTGTGTATAATGGTGTACAAAAGCATATTAAGGATATCCAGCCTAACGCAGAGTACGTACATTGTGCCATTCATAATTTAAATTTGATGATAAATGATGCTGTAAGCAGTTGTGGGGAAATACAGATTTTTTTCGCAACGTTGCAAGACTTGTATAACTTTTTCGGAAACAGCATCAAACGTTGGGATCTACTGTCAAAATTCACTGGCGAATCGGACACCACTCTAAAAAAAACTAAATCCGACTAGATGGTCCAGTAGGGTCAATACGATATCTGCAATAAAACTTCGTTATTTTGATATTATCAAAGCATTATCAGAAATAGTAATAATAAAGATGAGCGTAGTGAAGCAGAGAGTATTAAAACAAAAATGCTAAATTTCGAGTTCGTGTTGCTTTGCGAATTCATGCACAGTGTATTGAACGGCATCAATTATGCATCCAAAACTGTACAAAAATGCGACATCAATTTGGGCGAGGCGAGTAAAGTTTTAGCAGAGACTAGTGAAACTGCAAGAAAATATGGTATTGATACCCATTTTCAAGAAAAAGTTAAAAAACATTTTGATGAATTAGCTGCTGATCACCGATTTCCAAACCGAGAAAAAATATTTAAAATTGAGATTTTCAATAATGTACTAGACACAGCAATTAGATGCCGTTTTATTGGTATGAGTGCAGTCTGTCATATATTCGATTTTCTAACAGCAACATTTTTATTGATGAAGCAACTTTATTACAAAAGTGTGACGAATTCCAAAGAAAATATTCAGATATAATAGGCCCGAGTTTTTCACTTTAATTTATTAATATTTACCACCTAGTTTTACCTCCACTTACTCAAGCATGGACTGTTCACCAATTATGTAAGGAAATAATGAGCAAATATGGAGTGCTAGAATGAGACCTGACGGAAGTATTTACAGCAATGTTATTATTCTTTACAATTCCTGTCACTTCTGCAGTAGCTGAAAGGTCATTTAGCAAATTAAAAATAATAAAAAATTATTCAAGAAATAATATGGGTCAAACTAGACTCCGACATTTATCGCTAATAGCAATTGAAAACAAAACCGCATCAAGCCTGGATTTAAACGAAGTCATTGATACTTTTGCGAAAACTGAAGATAGGAAAAAATTGTAAATATTATTGTTATTTAGTCAGTTGGTAGGCCCGACCTTTATATAATAAACCCTTGAATCTTCTCTATTTCGTTTTATTAGCCAAACCTACACCAAGTATTAATTGTAATTTATGTTGTTACTGTTTAATATTTTTATTACCTGCCCTGCAGTGCACATTTTTAAGGTATTTGTATATTTCACATTTTTATTTGATAAAACCTAATCAGTTTACATAGCAGTGGGGCCCCATTTTTTAATTTGCCCCAGGGCCCTTGGTTACCTAGCTACGCCACTGCCCATAGGTATGATTTGTTATGTGCTATAGGAACACGAAGGACTTTGTAATCCAACAGATTTAACGTGCATCATTCACCATTTACTACACGAAAAGTTTTCTGCTGGCGGGCATCGAACCCACGACCTCTTGGACATGGACCCAGTGCCTTTCAACAAGCCACCCCGGCCCGAGAGGTATTGATGTGGGATTTAGGGAGCGTGGAGGGCTATATGACACCGTCAGATTTAACGTGCACCAGTCACCATACCATTTAATACACGCAGATTTCTCGGCCGGTTGAAATCGAACTCCCGCTCACAAGAACACGGATCCAACAATCTACCAACCAGGCTATTCTGACCTCTGATGAGGTACTGAGTTGACATTGATAGTCGTAAACTCAGAATTGGGTCGAGTGTTCAACGGCGGAAATAAAATAAAATAAAATAAAATAAAATAAAATAAAATAAAATAAAATAAAATAATTATTATACTGCATTGATAAGAAAGTGATATAGTTTAAAAATAATCATCGCAACAACTAATTACAGCTGGCAGAGAAAATTCCTTTCGTTGACTTAAGAGAACACTATACCATGCGAAAAAACTTTTAGTCGCAAATTCTCCTTCACCTCCATTACTAATTTAAAATTCGAAAGAAATAAGAAGTGAGTTCAAGAGAGAGAAAAAGAGAGTAAGCCATAAAGTTTCAATTAATGAATAAAAAATTTAAAAAAAAAACATTTTGAAAACATCAAAATTCAAACAACTTATTAGAAGAGAACTTTTCCATTGCGTTATTTTCAGTTATCTTTTCATAATTTATTTTCATTTTGATATTTTAAAAATTACTTTTCAATATTTGCTCTATAGGTTTATCTGAACTCACTTTTTTTTTTATGGATGATTGGCTGAACAAAAAGAAGCTTCCTAAAACGGGAAGAAATTTAGAAAACTTCCGGTGTATCCTTCCGCTTATGTTATGCTTACGAGGTGATGTGTGAACGGACTTAGTATCCTAGGAAGTTTTATTAATGTGATTTATGTTTTAATTTGCGCATCATTTTACTATTCATAAGAGTTTTATGTAATTTATAAATTCTAACTGGTTTTGAGCCTAAAACATATTTAACGAAATTAATATCCCATTATAAATAAAGTTTAATGTTTGCCATATTTTGAGTGTTATCTCTTATTCGGCTATATTTGTGTAAAATATCACCGATAGTTATTTTTGAGATTGCATTTCGCAGGCCTTGTGGAGTCTTCCAAATTTTTATGCTGTTTCTTTCATTGAAAATTAAATTTAAAAAACACTTTACATGTATAATAATATTTGATGGCAACCTTTTTCAAGCTTAGACGTAAAAATCAATCGGAAGTAGTAACCCGGAAGTCTGAAGACAAATTTTAACTCCTACCGCCATCTGTTCTCTTAGCATTACACGGTCAAACATCCATATGAGTTAAATTTTTTAATCAATCATGGAGGTAAAATAGAATTTGCGATGAAAAGTTTCTGCTGCTGTTTGGCGTCCTCTTAATGCAAAAGTCAATGCAATGCTTTAGAACAATTTGAAGTTTTGTTATTTTCCTATCAGTGCAACTGTTACCTCATAATTATCTAAAAAAAAAATTTATTTGATTTATATAGAAGTTTCTGCAATATATGTATTTTTATAATTCACTGCCCAAGACAAAAAATCAAGATGGTTTTCCATTGATGGACCAACTTAAATATGATGGTAACCAACTTGAATTCCCAACAAAAACCATCATACAGCTTGATGTGACCATCAAACTTTCCCAACATCCCAAGGTAGGAATTGGCCGCTTTTCAAGTTGGACCAACATAGCATTCCCATCATGGCATGATGGATTTTTATAATGGGCCAACATAGCATTCCCATCATAGTGCAATGGTTTTTTATGTTGGGCCAACATAGCATACCCATCATGGCATGATGGATTTACATAATGGGCCAACATAGCATTTCTATCATGACATGATGGGTTTTTATAATGGGACAGCATAGCATTCCCATCAAGGCTTGATGGATTTTTATAATGGGCCAACATAGCATTCCCATCATAGTATGCTGGATTTTCATAATGGGCCAACATAGCAT